TCACTCTCTCTCTCTCTCTCTTTTTATCTTCATTTCTTCCGTAAAAGCGAGCGTGTTCGTTCGGTCTTCATGCGCCACGTAGGAAGCCCGATTCACGAAGAATTTTATTTCCCGTTGGTTAGCAAGCCAACCTAATTACACCCCGCTTGTAGTTCTTATTCAATCAGACGCGCGCGATACGGCACTGTAATGCGAAATTTCGCTATTTTCGCTATTTTCGCGGCGAAATTCAATTCGACTAGTTGCTCTCTCGCGTTTCAAACTTCCGGCCAACTATCGTCACTTCAGCCCACTGAACCCGGAGAGCGTACCTCCACGAACCTCCACTTCCGTCGAATTCTACCTTTTCTCTCTCTCTTTCGTTTTTTTTTCCTTCTTCCTCTCTTCATCGTTGCGAGAGCACGTTTACGACTGTACCAGGCGGCAAGTGGTTATACATAGACACCTACTATATAAATACGTTCTCTCTCGCTAAAAGATATATCCTTACGGCGACAAGTAGGCAAAGAAAAAACAACGAGGATGGAGTAGGAGGAAGAAATTAAAAAAAAAGTATATCGAAGAGGTGCGAATACGATAATTATCCGACCGGTGGTCGTCGATATATTAAATAGCAGTGGATGGTGAGAGATGGTAATAGAGGCAACCAATAACATCTAACGGGCAACGGTATCATCAGTCAATCTGCTGGCACGGCATGTTTATTACGGGCACGAGTTAATGTCCGGTGGAACAAATGCCTCTACCCGAACGAAAAGGCACTCCAAGCCAAACCTGTCCATTATTCCTGTCGTTCACTTTCGTCACTTCCCCTCTATATAACGTCCCTCGTCACGATGCAACGTGCGCGCGATGAAAGGGTGGCAGAAACAACCGGCGTGGTCGGTGAAATTAGTAGCGCACTGCAATAAGGCGGTTCGATTTTCACGGGAGGGGTGGTAGAAAGGGGTGAGGAGGAGAGAATATGTGTATATAACATGGTCGGCTGGTTAGAAGAGAACGGAAGGAAGGAAGGAATGGAGGGAGGGTGTAGGAAAAACGTTGTTGATTAAGCGAGTATCATCGAAAGGTTTTCGGATGTTTTTCTCCCTCTTTTTATCTCGGATGTTTTTCTCCCTCTTTTTTTTTTCGGATGTTTTGGTTTTTTTGTTTCACCCACGTTTTCTGGAATTCGTATTACAAATTCCTTTTTATCGTGTACACGGTTCGGAAACCTTTGAGAGGCTTTATGTTTGCGTGGATGAACGTGATCGTATATCGGGAACAAACATCATAAAACTCGATGAAATTAAAGCACCTTTTAATTGGAGGATAAACGTGCACGTAGAATGGCCAATTTCGAAACATCGAGCAAACGTGGGGAAAGAAAAAAAAAAAAAGAGGGAAAAAGAGGAAAAAAAAGAAAAATCGGTTTATCTCTTTTACAATAACTTTACAAAAGCTTTTTACGTCATTCGCTTTTCGACGTTCCTCCTTGTTTGCCGTGTTCGTTGCCGGGGTTGTTGGATTTTCGTCAGAATTTTTTCGTAATGGTCAGAAAATTTTCCGTCGCTATTTTAATATCTGCTCCTTCCCCTCCCCATCCTCCATCCCCTATGTCCTGTGCAAATGCAATATCACAGTAGTCATGCGTTCTTATATTCAATCCCCCCGGACAACTACGTCTAGCACTCTAATATATGCATCCCGTACGTACGTATTCTTTCCTTCGTAACAGAGTGAAGAGATACGCGCGGACATCGGTGTTAATAAAATAAGCTCAATTACAGCGCGCATCGTAAGTAACGCCGGCTTAAATTCAAAAGCAATTACAAGCTCTCGCCGGCACACGGAGTTAAGAAAAAAAGAAAACCAGGCACGGACGTAAATCAGAATATATTAAGGGGAACTGTTGTAAAAGTGAGAAACTCGCATCGGAACACAGAGTAGCTATCTGATAATCTGGAACCACCTTGTTACATTTTCTTCAATTCGACTTCTTTCTTTCTTCTTTCGAGGGAGAGAACCCTGTAGGTAACGCGTAACGAAACGATGATTTCATTGAACATCCCCGATTTAATCGTCGCAACAATGGGAGGAAACAACGAAATTCAGACAAAATCGGCTAAAACGCGTTTAGCGTACACGCGTATTTATGAATTATCGACGCGTAACGACAATGTACAATCAGAAAATTGCATTCCGCGGCATCGGCACTCGGTCCAACGCGCCTGAGGAATTCTTCTATTTTGATTGCACGGAAGGGAATAAGATATCTGTTTCGCGTATACATACGTACGTAGGTACGTAGGAAATGAGATTTGCTATGCATAGAAAAATAAACTGAACCTTGTTTCCATTTCCCGTTACAACTATATAAAATCGAATAGGCGTTCAACAGGGGGTACATAACGGTATTCGAATAGCCTGGATTTATCCCCGGGTCCTATAGAAACATTAAATTCCTCCGTGCTTTATATCCGCGATGCTTTCTAATTAAACGTGTGGAAATACAAAAATTGAAAAAAAAAAAAAAAAAGAAAAGACAAACAACGACAACACATATACTCGACACGTTTATCCCCTACACCTCCGCTTCACTGTCAATGTCAATTATCGAACGCCGCTGGTTCTCCGGTCTCCTGTGCTAATTATTTCGAAAGTAGCGTTTCGTTGCAACGTTACCGCACCCCCCGGAGGAAAAGGGAGGAGATGTGCAAAAAGAAGAAGAGAAAGAAAGAAAATAGGGAGGAAAAAACAGGATAACGAAAACGTCGTAGCAGTTTTATTTAATTCAATCTCGAAAACTTTTAACTAAGGAAGACTTCGTAGACATCGCTTACTGCCACTCTCTCTCTCTTTCTCTCTTTCGCCCTTTATCTCTCTCACTCTTTCTCTCTTTCGCCCTTTATCTCTCTCTCTCTCTCTTTCTCTCTTTCGCCCTTTATCTCTCTCTTTCTCTGCTCTTCAACCCCTTCTACTTGCCTCTTCTACGTTCCGTCCCCCTTCCACTTCTCGACCTGGCACTTCCACTATCATCGCGACATTGCCCGAATTTTGAACATTAGTTTGCGAACCATTTAGCACAACTACTCGGCCCCAGCTAGCGTAGTTCGAATCACGGCACATACATCGGGCGTGTGCAGCTTAAACCGCAATGCTTAGTACCATAGTGCTTGCCGGTACAGTCATTGTACATTATGCTCGGCGAATCTTCATCCCCGTAGCGAAGCGTGTAACACCGTTTCCACGAGACGTGTGCGAAGATAATTGGAAAAAGAAGAGAGTAGCGCACACCTCGTGCTGAGGAGATGTTCGAATAAATTGCGAAGACTACTACGACCGGGGTCGAGAGGAAATTTTCGTTCGTGCTACGGGTCGTACGATGCTCGAGATAATTACAGGATCGGCCACTCGAACGAAGTGATCAACGTTTTCATAGAGGATCTCCTACTGTAAAAAATTTGAATATTCGATGAAACTCTCGTCAGATTAAATGAGAAAAATTTTTTTCTCTCTCTCTCTCTCTCGTTTAATTTTAGTCTGCCCTCGAAAATGCGATTCGAAATATTTGACAATCGGGGAATTTCGTTCGAGCCCCGAATATGTGATTCGAGATGTAATTTAACAATCGTGAAATTTTTTCGGTTTTTTTTTTTTTTTAATTCCAGAAGATAGACGAATAATAGTTATTTGTGACCTTTGTGAAATTTGTTTTTTCGTCCGTAGAGGTGCGAGAGTGTTGCGTTCTTTTTTTTCTTTTTTTTGCAAATGGTCTACGATGTACTTTTAATATCGCGGAGAAAAGGATTGCATGTAACGCGTAGCCGTTTTAAAAGCACTGCTTATGTTGGTTAATTGCCGTAGACGGTACGTGAGAGCACATCTTTCTGGGAATAACAATTAAACCAACGTTATCGCGGAATATTCACTACCACCGTGGAAAAGTAGCCAAGGTCTTTGCGTTTGTTTAAATTGAATAGTATCGTTAAACCGTGCCCGCCGCGCTTTACAAACGCTCCGTTTTATAGGCAATTCTTGGAGAGTTTGAAATACCTGCCGAGAAATTAATCAGCGGATGTAAATTCCTGGAAAGAATCGAATTTCAGTTCGTCCATCGTTCTGTTTTAATTTACACGGCGCAAGTTTAACGGCGCGTATTAATTTCGAATTCGATATAAATTCTCGGCACCGCGTTCGAGTTTCAAACTGTTGTTCGCACCCTTCGTGCAACGATTCGTTTCTTCAAATGATCGTTGCGCATTATGGAAATGAAATTTTCAAAATATTCAACGTCACACTGATCGCTAAACACTGTTGAAAAATATGCCGATTAATGTTTTTCATAATAAACGTTACTATCTTTTTTAAATTTTTGTTAAAATTTACAACGAAACAAATGTTGTATCGTTTGTTAAATGTAAGCGTGAAATTTCCCTCCATCGCGATGGCAAATTTTTTAAATCAGAAAAAAAAAAGAAAAAGAAAAACTGTTGCGTTACTTACCGCGTACAGACACGTGACGAAATTTGATATCGGACCTTGTCAGCCAATGACACGATGATTTGAGGGCATAACTGTTGCTCTTCTCGAGATGATGCTCGGACCAAGTGTAGCACGAATGTCGAGAAGTGGCGCGTACCGTACTAACGGACAGACGGTGCGCGACTGTGCACCGAACACCCTCGCAATCTCCCTTTTATGGGCTTTCTCACAGCGCGTCCACCCTACGTCGACTATCACTACTCCTCTACTCGATCCTTTGCCACCCTCCTCCCCCACTTTCCCCATCAAATCCTAGATTTTTCGAAAGTACGCTTTATTATGTTCGCAAAATTGTTTCCCGTTACGCTCAACCGCGCGTATGGTAAAAAAATAACTTTTTATTTTTCGAAACTTATAAAAAATTTAATTTCAATTTAATAAGACAATGACGATAATATTGATTAAAATTTACAAAGGGTTTATTCCACATCTCGTGTACATATGTATGTATGATATGAAATTATATGAACACGTTATTATGGTAACTTTCTTTTGGCTGGCTCTTCGTGTACTCTGACTTGAAGCGTGGAACGCGGTCCACATTTCCATACGTTCCCATCCTTGTCGAGTATACTCGCGTTTGCTGTGACTTGATACTGTCCACCACCGGTGTTCATGTTGTTGTTCACGTTACTGCTAGTACTTGCACACGACGTTGCACTCGTACTTGGACTTCCTAGTGAAAGTAAAAATTCACAGGCAAAGAAATCACGGTGCGGCGTGACGGTTTGCTGTAATTCGTTGGCGTTAGAATCCTGCGAGCAAAAATGATTGTCATTTATTTGGTATACTTTGTTGAATGAAATATATGTTGGTAAATGTACCTTTTGATCGGAATTAATCTTCGACGGAGGTGTGGTAGAGATAGAAATGCAAACAGCAGCGACAGAACGATAAAGAGAAGCTCGTCGACCATGTCGTAATACTCCTTCGACTTTCAATGCTAATTGACTTCCCTGAGGAACAGATACTGGTTCACCAAGGACACGGGGTTGCGGTGAAACGGATAGCTTGACACTAGTTGCTTGTAAAGCTTGGAAGTAATATCGAGGTATTGGTAATCTCATTTTTGTTCCAGCTAATAACATCACCTGCGAGACTAAGCAGTTTATTCTTGAATGGCTAAGCGCCACTGCTTTATTTTCACCTATATAGGTTGGCGCCAAACGACGTAATTCTGTGCAACAACGAGCCAGCTGACGTATTTCTACGGTATCACCGAAATTAAAATTGACTTCGCTTTGATGATACGTTTGGATTCCTGACCCGCCGCAAACT